AGAATAAGTTTTTGCCAAGCATCTAAGTTATTGTTCACTAGAGAAGGCTCAGAGTGGAAAATTGAAATGTCTACACATCTCTAAAACATGCTATTCCCTAATCAATAAGTTTAATATAACCCACCACTCGGATCTGGCCATATTTTTATGAGCGGGAATAAAGGTGTACAGTTGAATAAGGTGTTATAGAAGCTCCTTGATACAAGATGGAAAGGGAAAGGTAAAGAAGTCCCTGCGAGTTTTACCCTGCTAATTGTAGCCAACTTCAGAGGTTGGTATCCAAGTCCTTTCTTCAGGCCATTAAGCCAATGCTGTTTCCAAGTCAATTGACCAGCATGACATCATGCTGCATTGCAAAGCATACATCAAAACGTGGAATGTTTTTACCTTCTCACTAAAATACCTGATTTATAAGCTTCCATTTACATACTTTTGAACTGCTAGTTGGCAGGAGCTGAGGCAAATGATGGGAACTCACTCCATCATGTGGTGTTAGGACTCGGACCACAGACCTAAGTCACTAAGCCACGGTGCCTCTACAGGAAGATAATGTTTGAATTCCTTTAACATGCCTATTCTAAAGAAAGACTTTGGGTGTCACTTATTTCAGGCATGTTACACAGCAATACAAAAGAAGAGTTTTTAAAATAGCATACTGAACATTGCCTGCTTTCCCAGTAGCTGATATAAGAAAACCACTATGCGTTGAAAGTCTTGTGGGTAGAATAACCAGTGAGTTAGAAAGGGCTGGATTCTCCCATAAAATCTGTATTCAGTTCTGAAGTTCTCTGCAGATGGAGAAAGTACACGTTGAGAATTTCTCCAGGCAAGTGTTCTTGGGTTCTTCATCCTTATTTTAGGAATCACATTAATCAAAACCACATGAAATTATTCCACACCATTCATTCAACTCTTTCCCACTATAGTTTTATTTGATGGATGATTTTTACTCATACATTTTTGAGGCATGCAAGAAGATTATGGAGAGTTTGAACAACTGAGGGACAAGAGAAGAATTAAGGGCTCAAGTGTGAAAAATTAAATGGCAGAACTTTCAAGCAATCTGGTAAAATTCGAGCCGCATAGGTAAGGGTAACCAAATGTATAATACAACCCTGCCTATATTATTGGTTGTCCTCCAGCACCTGCTATATATAAAACCCAGTTACAAGTGTTTTAATTAACCAGAGTCTTGGGCCCTTGCTGCCATTTCTCTTTTTTAAAAGACACAATTGCCTCAAGTTCCTTTTCAGTAAATTCTGTGTAAACATGATGCTTGTTTACACAAATGATTTTTTTTTTTACAAAAATTAATCTTGGCAAGAATTTTAGCTAGAGCAAATTACAAAATGCTTTTAGCATGCTTTTGAAAGAGTCACTAGCTTATTGTGGTATCTTTTCAACTATACGTAAAATAAAAGTGTGATGAAAAACTTAGCAGCTAGTTGTCCAATGCAGAAAGGCCTTACATAATTTTTGTACAAGGAGAAGGGAAGGAAAGGGAGAAATGTAATAGGTGTCATTTCTCTGAAACTGTTATATCAGTGCTTCCCAAATACTTTCCTCCATTATCCAAAACTGCTTACCAAAAAATCCTTATTTAAATGTCCCTAATGTGATTTTATAATGATACACAAACCCATTTCCCAAAGAAAAGCCACTTTTATCCAATTTTGGGTAATTTAACCAGCTTTAGCAAGCACTGTGTTAGAAAATGATTCTTGCTAAATTGCTATGTATAAAGCAAGGGCAAAGATAACAAAGTTTTCCTATCCAGTTATGTCTGAAGACATGTTCTTTAGTCATGTGGCCAGCATGGCAGTATACCAAAGGCACATGGAACACTGTTATCTTCCCACCAAAGTGGGACCTATTAATCTGTTTGCATGCTTTTAAACTGCTAGACGTAAGGCACCTGATATTCCATTGTGACTTCACTAGGTGGGACATGCCATATGTTTAAAGGGAGGAAGGGACTGGCTCCTATTCCCACTTGAAAACCATTCCCAATTCTGCAAACTGCCCTGTTACTTTTGCTGAATTGAAATGCTTTAATCTCAGATAAATTAGGGAATGCAAAGGGAATGGCATGAACGACATGTAGCCAGTGGTAGGTTTGCAAGGGGAGGCAAGTGAGGTCTGAGAGACATAAGTAGATTTCCAGGATTGGAAGTCCAACCACTTTTCTGTATGTTTGTGACATACACATGGCTCCAAATGCCAGAAGATTACTAATCAAAGCAGCAAGAGGGCGTGACTTGTTGCATTAATGGCCCTTGGTCCACAATCCTGCCTATATCATCAACTAGATTTTTTGGACGGGGCTATCTAAAACGTATATTTAAGCCTCCCCAGTAAATTATTTGCTAAAAGCATGATTCACTGATCACATCTTAAGCTTTTGCATTTTACTCTATGGTAAATCTCCTTATAGGACCAGATATACGCAGGTTATTCCTAGCCAACATGCCAATGCACAGAAAACTTGAACTTCCTAAGAAAAGAAATAAGGGATTTTTCTCTTCTTGTTGGGCTATTAAATCCCCAAATCAATATATGACATTTCATTGTAGTTTAAATTATAAAGAAAGACCTTCAACTTAATTAATATGCACCCAAAATATGGTCAGAAACTATTTTTAGCAATGCAACTGCCAACAGTTTTCAATCATTTACTTATTTCAACTGTTCTTAATATTTCCTGTTTTCAAAAATGCGTTTATCATTATTTTGATCATCAGGCCGCCTGTAATTCTTTGAAAATCATAACAGAAGCATTCTTTTTTTAACTGAACCCAAACAATGCTGATAGTCTCTAAAGCCATAGATGTCTTTTGGACCACCTCAGAAATTCATAATGGACATCTCTATCACCCAAAAATGTATTAATTATGCAGCTGGCTCAAAGTCTGCTCCGAAAAGAACATCCATCAGCTTACAAATTGAGGAAACAGGCTTGTCACCACTCTTAATTCCACTGGACTAGCTCTATAAGAATCCTAGTCATATAAAGCAAAGTTTGATGCTCTAGTTCCCAATCAAATCTAATTTTTAAAGAATAAATTGCCTATATAGGAAATAGCCCAGAGTGATAAGAGCAAGATAATTCCTGCCAAGTTCAGGGAGCTTAGTTTTTGTAGTATCGGCACTGCTTGAATTTTATTCACCTAAATGCAAATAAATTTAGACCTTTCTAGATAATCATTTTATAGCTATTTTTGTAAGAATTCTAAGCAGTTATTATTCATGGTGCCCTTTCAGGGCCATGCCATAGTAGAAAAGGAGAACCCTTGTAAAACATGGCACCTTGGACAATCCTGTCCATCAAAAATAATGGTGTAATTGGTGGTGAGCTCCCTCACCTTCTCTGCACTTTTCTTCAATGTGGCTTAAGGTTAAGTTTCAACTCATTGAAAAATATAGCTCAAAGCTTTCTCTTGGGTTTCATGGTTCCACATGCAACCAATCTTTTTATTTTTGCATGCAAAAATAATTCCTTAGGGAACTGGGGGACTGAAGCCTAAAAAAAACAGATTCTTTTCAATGCTGGTCAAATTCTATTTAGCATTCAGCTACACCTATAATTTATAACCTGTTCTAAAATAATATTTAAAAAGTAAGCCCATTTTAGCTTCCCAATCAAGTTACGGCAAAGTCATCAGAACATGTATACACAGATGGTATACATAATCTGACAACGTATAATAAATATGTTATACTTTCATAAATACATTAAAGCAACAGTGCCATGTCATTTTTCACTTCCTTCTGAAATGCTCAAAGATTATGTCCTGAGATCTGACATTAATTCCTGCTAAGATATCTGGAAACTTATTTCTCTTACCTTTCTGGTAAGTGGCACTTCAATAGGAACAGGAACAACTTCTGCAAGAAGGCAGCCATAAAATGCTACCATAAAAGCTGCGGGATCATTGTTGGGAAAAACAAGGGCTACCTGTAAAAAAAAAAAAAGGGCAGGGGGAAGGAAAGTAAACAATTAATAATACCTGTAGATGTAAATACATTTTGCAGAATGCTTCTATAGCACTGCAAATAGACATCTTACCAACTAAAGCAACCAACTACAGGTGAATAGCATGCAGGACTAGGCACAGAAGTAACTCGTGTGTCTTTCTTGGTTCTTGGAATCTGATATCAAGCAACTGGTATCACTCTGTAGTCTGTACTCAAGAATAGCTAGGGCTTCTATCATTTGTGCTAAGGTGGCTATGATCTTTAACTAAAGAACTTCTGGGTGTTCATCCTGGAAGGAAGTCTGCCCAGCAGTTACCAGAAACAGAGCATTCTTAGTGATGGCCCTTAGTGCCTAATTCCTTCCCTTGCTGGATTCCCCCAGCAAACTAAATTCAATTTAAGTATTTTTTTAAAAAAAACCCACGTATTTTTACATTTTGGCCTTCCAAAATAGCATGGTTATATTTCATTCTATCTCTTGAATTTTCATGACACCATAGACTTTTTAAAAAATTGGATTTATGACCTACAAGGTCCCTTCCAACTCTGTAAATCTGTATCTGTATCCAGTATTTAACGTTTTGGTATTGAAGTTATTTGCTATTTTCATCTCTATGCTTATTATTAATTCCTTCTTATTGATTGGATACTTGTTTATTGATGCAGGGTGGCTTTTGGGTAATATGTGATATACCAATGTGATAAATAAGTAAACTGTAGTTCAACAACATCAGCATTATTTATGTATCCCTTTACAGAGTAAACCACTCTAGGGGGACTAATAATGGTAACCAAAGGAATGGGATCTTATGAAGCCAAATTGTTTCTAGCAGGAATGATCCTTTAAAGATCTTTTAATAGTTTTTGTGCTACCTGCTCTTACTGAGCAGCTTCTAGGTAGTCCTACTTAAAATTAATTGGAACTTAAAATGAAATATATGTAAATCCTTATTTCAAACCTATTTCTACTGAGAAACTGAGACATAAATTAATTTTTAAGTCAGTCTAAGTATAAGCCATTTCAGTTTCATCTTATATGCATTATAAAATTATAAAAGTACACAAAACAAAATCCAGAATTATACATATTTGTAATTTTATACACTACTTAATGAACAATTGAGGCTAGTCATTCATAACTTCAAATAATAGTTTGCCTTTATCTAGAAAAAGTTATGCCTTAATACCTGTTAGTGTATAGGATAATTCAGTCATTGCTGATATAAGCTCCATTAATGCCAACAAGGCTTGGATATGATTAACTGTCTCTGGGTAAGGAACAAAGTGTAGGTTTCCCCCACTCCACCACCCCGCCCAAAAAAATTGAGACCGCAATTGTGCAAAGTGGTTTGATCAGTTTTAAAGTGTTGGAAGTTATTACAGGTTTTTTATTTATTAAGAAAGGCATCAACAAAGCTTCATTGGTATTTAGTGCAAAAGTTCAAGTTGACCTTATATGAAATGACAATGTTTAAAATAGGCTTCTAGAAATGTTTACAAACAAAATATTTCATAGCCCAGCTTTGATTCAATCACTGATGCAGAAATTGAGAGCCTAAACACAAAACTCTGTTGCACAGCAGGCCAACTTTTGGTCTGCAGGAATATTTCTCTGTATTTGTGGAACAGAGAATGCAATTAACCTTTTGCCTTGCAATACCTGTTAGATAGAGCAAAGGGAAATGTCCAGGAGTTTTTTTTTAATGCTGAAGGATAATTAGGGCTATAAGTATTGATAATAAATATATTGGGATGCGGCTGATCCTGAAAGACCAGAGTAAAATTGGGAGAACAAAGAAACAAACGTCCTATGGCTCTATACTCTTGTCCTGCTTCCCTGGACTGAATACAGTTTTAATTCACTTCTTGCAGAATGGGCGGTAACTTATCTGGGTACTGGGAGAGCCTGAGCTTCATAAACCTTGGCTATGTACGCCAAAGGCCACTTCAGGCAA